TGGGGAGGTGAGGTCCTTCCACTTGCATGTCGGGGCCCCACTTGCTTTCCCTCAGCAGGGGGAGCCCAGCACCCGCCCCCGACTTCTCAGATCCAGCCTTGTCCTGGGCGCAGACCTGTTCCTTAGGGGCTTGGGCTGGTTCTCTCGGGGTGTCGCTGGGGATCCACGCCATGCATGCACACACGTGCACACACACAAACACATGTAAACACTCGTGTGTACAACAGGACGGCCACGCCTGGTCCTGCTCCCAAAGCCTGGGCGTCATTCATTCGAAATGGACCTTTCGGAACGCTTCAGTATTTCGAAAGAAAGTAGGACGGTGTGTACAATCAGCTTTCCTTTGTTTTATCGTCCCTGGAAATTCAGGGAACTGTTTTTGATAAAGGCTAGCACCAAGGTTCATAGCCAGTTGAGTGTCCATTCTTCAGCGTCTTAAATTTTTAAAATGAGTTTGTGGTGTGATGTTCATTGCCAGGCCTGGTTGGTAAAAAAACCGTTTTTTTCGGGAAGGCAGCCTCCTGGCTCAGGCCACACGGGAGGACGTGGGCACGAATTTTATTGAATGCGTTTAAGTCAGTCCTGGGCTGGCGAAGGCTTACCGTGGGCTGGCACCGAGCCCAGCCGAGCCACGGTCCCAGGCGGTTGCGGGGACGCCTCCAGCGCCATCACCCCAGACCCTCCTGGGCCGCCGCCGTCTGACGGGCGAGAGGAACCCAATACAAGGCTGCTTTTTCGAGAAATACGGAAAGTTAGTTTTGCAAAACTGCAGACAATCCTGTGGGCCTCACCCCCCTCCCCTAGAGCGAGGTGGAGGCCGGCGCGGCTGGACTCGCTTTCGAGTGGCCGGTGCGGGTGGGACGCGGGTTTCACCTCAAGGGGAGGTTTGTGGAGCGAGGCGGGAGGTTACTGCCCCACACCTCCAACTGTGGCTTTGGTGAAAGTCATAACTGGAAAGGTTTGTGTTCGCGCGCTTTTATTCTTGCCATGACTCTCATACCATAAAGAAATGATTTTTTCTGTTCTTCTACCCTGGTAATTCTTGAGACTTCGTCAGCACTTGGGTGTGAAAGTAGCCCAGAAAGTTTTTTGGGGTGGGGCGGGCCCACGGGTTTTTTTTTTTTCCCCACCGGGGTTTATCAGGAAATTCCTCTGGGAGACTCCAGTGATTTCTCATCACAGAGTTCCATGATCGACATTAGTGCAGGATTCTATTCCTGTGTCCACGGGTCCTGAGACGCCCGCCTGTGGTGCAGGCCGCCCCTGGCCCACCGGGTGGGCGTCTAAAGGGGGAAAGGACAGGAGCAGCCCAGCCCAGGGCAGCACCCAGCCCGGGGGGGATGCCATTGCTTGGGGCACGTCACAGCGGGGATGCAGGGGAGCATCCAGGCCGGGGGATTGCCATGCTTGGGGGTCACAGCGGGGGGATGCAGGAGCACCCAGCCAGGGAATGCAAGTGCTTTGGGCGGTTGGGGGGTCACAGCGGCGGGATGCAGGCAGAGCACCCAGCACAGGCGAATGCACATGCGTTTGGGGGGGTCACAGCAGGGGATGCCAGGGAGCACCAAGCTGGGGGATGCCGATGGCTTGGGGCGTTCACAAGCGGGGATGCAGGGAGCACCCAGCCAGGGAATGCAATGCTTGGGGGTTCACAGCAGGGATGGCAGGGGACCACCCAGCCGGCGGGGATGCCATTCTTGGGGTCACATCAGGGGATTGCAGGAGCACCCAGCCAGGAATGCAATGCTTGGGGGTCACAGCAGGGATGCAGGGGAGCACCCAAGCCGGGGGATGCCATGCTTTGGGGGTCACAGCAGGGGATGCAGGGAGCACCCAGCCAGGGGAATGCAATTGCTTTGGGGGTCACAGCAGGATGCAGGGATCACCCAAGCCGGGGGATTGCCATGCTTTGGGTTCACAGCGGGGGATGCAGGGAGCACCAGCCGCACCCTCCCCGGGGGACCCAGCCCGGGCCACAGAGGGGCCTGGTGACCATGCCGGCCAGCTCTCTGTGGCCTAGCACCTGCCTGGGTGCTCCCTGTATCCCTGCCTGTGACCCCCAAGCATTGCATTCCCTGGCTAGGTGCTCCCTGCATCCCCGCTGTGACCCACAAGCATGGCATTCCCTGGCTGGGTGCTCCCTGCATCCCCGCTGTGACCCCCAAGCATGGCATCCCCCGGCTGGGTGCTCCCTGCATCCCCGCTGTGACCCCCAAGCATGGCATCCCCCGGCTGGGTGCTCCCTGCATCCCCGCTGTGACCCCCAAGCATGGCATCCCCGGCTGGGTGCTCCCTGCATCCCCGCTGTGACCCCCAAGCATGGCATCCCCCGGCTGGGTGCTCCCTGCATCCCCGCTGTGACCCCCAAGTACTGCATCCCCCGGCTGGATGCTCCCTGCATCCCCGCTGTGACCCCCAAGCATGGCATCCCCTGGCTGGGTGCTCCCTGCATCCCCGCTGTGACCCCCAAGCATGGCATCCCCTGGCTGGGTGCTCCCTGCATCCCCGCTGTGACCCCCAAGCATGGCATCCCCCGGCTGGGTGCTCCCTGGGCTGGCTGCTTCTGTACTTTCCCCCTTAGACGCCCACGGTGCCAGGGGCGGCCTGCACACAGCGGCGTCTCAGGACGGGCGTGGACACAGGAACAGAATCTGCACTAATGTGATCATGGAACTCTGTGATGAGAAATCACTGGCGTTCACAGAGAATTCCTGATAAACCCGGTGGAAACGTGCAAACTTCTGCTACTTTCACACCAGTGCTGACGAAGTCTCAGAATTACAGGGTAAAGAACAGAAAAATCATTTCTTTATGGTATGAGAGTCATGGCAAGAATAAAAGCCCGAACACCAACTTTTCAGTTATGACTTTTACAAAGCACAGTTGGAGGTGTGGCAGTAACTCCTCGCTCACAAACCTCCCTTGAGTGAATAAACCGCGTCCCACCCGCACGGCCACTCGAGTGCAGAGTCCACCTTGCTCTGGGGGAGGGGGTGAGCCCACAGGATTGTCCCAGTTTTCAAAACTAACTTCCGTATTTCTCGAAAAGCAGCCTGTATTTGGGGTTCCTCTCGCCGTCAGACGCGGCCCGGCCCAGGAGGGTCTGGGGTGATGGCGCTGGAGGCGTCCCGCCCGCCTGGGACCGGTGCTCGGGCCTGGGCTCGGTGCCAGCCCCACGTTAAGCTCGCCCAGCCCAGGACTGACTTAACCATTCAATAAATATTCGTCCCACATCCCTCGTGTGCCTGAGCCAGGAGGTCCTTACGGTTTTTACAACAGGCTGCAATGACATCACACACAAACTCATTTTAAAATTTAAGACGCTGAAATGGACACACTGGCTATGAACTGGTGCTAGCTTATCAAAAACAGTTCCTGAATTTCCAGGGACGATAAAACAAAGGAAAGCTGATTGTACGACACGTCTACTTCTTTCGAAATACCCTGAAGCATTCCAAGTCATTTCAGATGAATGACGCCAGGCTGGGACAGGGACAGGCGTGGCCGTCTGTGTACACACGAGTGTTTACATGTGTTTGTGTGTGTGCACGTGTGTGCATGCATGTGCTGGATCCCCGCGACCCCCGAGAGAACCAGCAGCCTAGGGACAGGTCTGCGCCAGGACAAGGCTGGATCTGAGAGTCGGGGCGGGTGCTGGGCCTTACCCTGCTGGAGGGAAGCAGTGGGGCGACTGCAGGGAGGACCTCACCCTCCCACTGCCCCACTCGGCCAGCGGCCCTGTGAGGCCGGGAGCCCCAGGGCAGCCTCGGACCCCGACCTCCCCGGGGCTGGGGGGAGCAGTGAGCCTGCGCAGCGAGGACCCCCGGCCTAAGGATAGGTGTCAAAGCGTTTCTGTCCTTGGGCTGCGGCGAAGCCCAGACGGACAGCAGGCAGGCGGTGGGCGGAGTGCGGTGGGCGGAGTGCGCCGTGCGAGTCCTTGCGGGGAGGTGGGAGCGCCGACGGAAACGGACTCAGGGTTTCTGCCGGCTCCACCTGCCCCCACCCGCGATCACTGCAGGCGGAAAGTGGCGACCGGCCCCGCCTCTCTGCCCCACACCTGCCCACGGCCTCCCAGGGGCAACGACCACGCCTGGGAAAGGAGGTGACCGGACGGTGGGCTGGGCCACCAAGGCAGGCTCCGGCATCTCAGCTAGTCTTAAAGACAACGCGTGAACAGCCTGCTTGGAAACAGGAGACGCCGCTCGACACGACTTCACGCCCGGCCGGAGGGCTCCCGGCGCCTCCGGGTCTGCCTCTCCAGACTCCCGCGCTCCCTCTAAGAGCAGACGCGAACTAAAATCCTGAGCATCTCACATTCGGTGTTCAGAAATAGGCGACTGTCTGGCTGGGGAAACTGGTTCCAGATTTCAGCAGACTCCCGCAGAGCTGGCCCATCTGAGAACACGCACACGCGTGCACTGGCCACAACTCAGGTGCCTGAGGGCGGGGGCTGGGCGCTTGCCTCATGGCCCGGCTGGAGCCCTGAGCACAACCCCCGCCCCCACCCCACCCCACAGCACCGTGAAGGGGACGGTGCTGTCACCCGCCGGGGACTCACCGCAATCCGCAGGACGGACGCCTTCACGGAGGTCCATTTGTCCCGCCGCCGGTCTATGACCAGGATGAACCCCACGCCGGCATCCTGCAAGCTGGAACGGGACAGACACCGGGGTCAGCGTGTGCAAGGGGGTCCAGCTTCCTCCCAGCAAACGCTGCAATGAGCGCCCCCCATCCTGTGCTGTCCCTGCCGTGCAGGTGGGCGTGTGACAAGCAGAGGTCCTGGCCACATCCCCACGGGGAGGACAGCCCATCCCCCAACTCCCAGAACTGGCTCGCATCCAAGCACGGAGGAAGTTCCCAGTGTGCTCTTATCCCCCAGCCCAGCACGGCCCCTCGGTCCACAGGTACAGGCAGAGCCCGTCTTGTCTTCCCGGGGCTCGGGCAGCTAAACCTCCACGGCCAGCTGTGCGGCCCGTACATCACACCAGTCCCGGCCTCCGCGGAGCCTGTCTCTGTCCACGTCACACAACCGCTCCTGATGGCGCTGATCCCGCTCCGGGAGGAAACCCGGGAGGCTTCCGGAGGCTCCCGAGCACCTGCTGCCAGTGGGAAGCGGCGAGACTGGGCTCCTGGCAACAGCCACATCTGCAATCTCACTCACACACGAGTGGCTAGGTAGCCGTGACCTCCGACCCCCAGCAGGGCCTGCTGGCAGGAGCCCGGGTCACAGCACAGGGCTGGAGCGTTTCTCATCCGAGCCGATGTGTGATGCCGGCGGCTGCCACCCACAGAGGCTCCGAGACAGGCAGGCGCACGGCACAGACTCGAGTCGCCACTTCCCGAGTGTCTGAGCGCATCTAAGGAGCCCGTTCCAGGTTTCCGTGAAGGGCAGGGTTACACAGAGCACGGACAAATCTCACAGCGTGTGAAGAGCTCTGCCTGCCACCAGCGCTTCCTGACAAAGCCGGAGCCTTCCGGCTGACTGCAAGATCCTGCTGACTCAGAGCTGGTGACGGGGACAGAGACACGCACCACGTGCATCTATCCGTGTGGCGTGTGGAGCTGGCTCCTTGTCCACATCCACGCGTCTGGAGTGAACTGGTTCAATGACAGCAGAGCACGTCTGGGTGAACAGATGTCTGCTGTCAATCCACGCAGCCTTTCTGCCGTGGACGTGAACGCATGCCATGCACATGGGAGGGCTCGTGGAGTCTGTCTCACAGAAAACACGTGTCTCCTGGTGTGGTGGCTGAGTTCTCGTAGAGCTACGACGTTTTGTTATGTGTTTTTATTTCCTGATTTACTTTTTGGGCTCAAGCACGTTGACAGTTTTAGGAACTGAGAGACATGGCAGGCGTGGGGATCTCAGCAAACCCCATTAGTGCCCCCAAAGTCTGCCGGCCTCACGTGAGTTAAGTGCGGGCATCGGCTTCCCCCCATGCCGCCAGGCACCGGTGCAGAACCGAGACCCACTTGCCTGGCCGGCTGCTTCCAGCAGTGTGGGCTGGTTCAGAAGTCAGGTCAGAGCAGACCCTTGTCCCTGCTCCGTCCCGGCAGCTACTGACACGCGGGCTCCGTGGCAGCGCAGGACCTGTCCCTGCCTCAGTAGCCCCAGCAGGGCCTGCCAGTGCCTGCCAGCTCTTGGTCAGGATGCGGGGGGCGACTTCACTGTCCCGGCCTGTGAAACCCGACCGCGCTCCCCCTAGAGATGCACACCAGCATGGGCGGTTTCTAGCGGCACTGACCACGCCTGCACCCCAGACGCGTAGCTCCGAGCAGCCTGACTGACCGCCCCACCCCGACCCTGCCCCAAGGGGTGCGCAGGGCTCCGCCATTCCAAGTCCCTCTGTACCCTACGGCTGCCGCGGCTACGGGCAAGAAGCCCAGGGAGGTTTGTTTCCATTGAGCACCGGATCCTCAGACCGACGAGCCCAGCAAAGGGCTTTCGAGTCCCACAGCAGGGCCTGAGGAAGGTCCCCACCCGCCCGTCTGCTCTGGGGGACCCCTGGCCGGTGACTCATGTAAACCATGTGTTGCCACTTCTGCAAACTGGGAACGGTAACAGCCCCACCCCTGCAGATGGCGTGCACCGTGCAGGGTGTCCCGGCTGCCACCAGGCCTGACGTCCCTTGTCCCTGAGTGGAGATGGGCTGTGGAGGGATCCCGGCCTCACGCTGCAAACCCTCTGCGCCCACCCGTGAAGCACACTTCGCCACGGGCATCGCCCGCAACAGGCGCAGAATGGCCGCCGTCCGGCATCTGCACCGGGACAGCCCTGCCTTGGCCTGAGTGCGGCCCCACCGCCCGCAGTGCTGGGGCCTCACACACGTGGCATCCCATGCCGCGGCCCAGCCGTGAGCCATGTGTCCTCGGCGTATGCTCAGGCGCAGGGGGGCTCTGTGGTCACCGGGGAGGCGAGACCCAGTCACGACCCAAAGCGCCTGGCCCCACAGGACGGGGACGTGGCAGCCCCTTCCTCCCCCAGCGCCCAGGCCAGGCAGGCCTCCCACTCCAGGGCCGAGGGACGGTGCTAAAGGGGACCTGTCCCCAGAGACCACACGCCTGTCCACATGGGTCCTAGCGAAGCACCCGCCCACCCCCCGCAGCTGCTGTCCTGCCACGCTCTGGGGAACTGACCCGGAAGGTCTAGACTGAAAAACCTGAATGAGGGCATCAAGACCCCTATTGTCCCCTGCCCGCTCCGCCTGCGGGCCCCATGGAGGCGGCGTGGCTGGGGGTGGTCCCAGCGAGCAGGGCCAGCAGCACATGGCTCTGTGTCCGCAACCGTACCCAGCACGGCAGGGCCTGGGGCTGGTGGAGGCCCTGCCGGTGCCCGAGCTCGCTGGAGGGACGGGAGTGAGGCCCGGCCCAGTTCCAGCAGGAACATGCCGGGGTCCCCGAAGGCCCGGCTGTGTGTGGGTCCCTCTGGAGCTGGTGGCACAGGAGGAGGAGGCGGGAGGCCACACTGAGGCGGCCAGCCCTGGCAGGAGCAGCACCCGGCACCCTGTGCATGGACACAGCCCACGGACACCCCGACATTGGCTCGACCCCACCACAGTTGGCCTTGGAGACGGGGCCGCCCTGGCCAGCCGCCCGGCAGCTGGGTCTGAGGCTGATGAGCTCACTTCTGGCCCAGATACAGGAAAAAGGCACAGAGGCCCCATAAATGCTTCAGGAATTTATGGGACAATCTGCTGGGCCTTCCCTGACAGAGACCCCGGCTGCCGGACGGCCTCAGGGACACAGGCTGCGCCAGCCTGTGGATCCCGCACAGCGAGGCCGGGCAGAGCAGTGGGCTCGTGGACACTGGGCCGGCCGCGTCTCGCCGCGGGGACTAGGCAGGACGCTTCTCCCCACGTGGGCGGGCAGGGAGCAGATGCCCCACAGGCGGGGGAGCCGCGGCGAGCGCCGGGCAGGGAGGGCATGGCGGGAGCAGGCAGGGACCCGGGGCCCAGAGAGGTGTCCCCCTGCTGCCTTAAGGCCATCTCAGCCACTCGGGACAGAGCGTGCGGCACGTGAGTTCCCTGCCTGGGACTGTGACTTTGCTAAGAGAACGTGTTGTCCGGTCGTGACAGAGCCGCAGACGCGCAGCGTGAGTGAGGCACACGCGGCCCGACTGGCCCACCTCATCCTTCACGGCCGCGTCTCGGTCTCCTGTGAGCAACCTCTGCTCACCCCGGGTGGACGTTTCCTGTGCTCATCCAGAAGCTACACTTCACATTTAAACTCGATCTCTCTGAAATTATTAGTGACTTTTACTCGTGGTGTGAGGCAGGGGTGGCCAAATTGGTAATTCCCCACACCGACGGCCAGCGACACCCCAGTCACCCACTGTGGTCATTCGTCGTTTGTGCCGTTTGTCTCGGTTACTGTGACTTCGCAGTGAGCGGTGTTTGGTGGTGACGGTTTTCCGACTTTGCTCAACACGGGGCCTGGTCCTCCGCTGGGGCAGCAGCCGGCCGGACCTGGGGGTCACTCGCACCCAGCACACGGCCTCAGAGCCCAAGAGAACCAGACCCTTGGAGACGACACGCACAATATGTAAACTTATCACATGCTACTCATACAAATAAGCAAAAACCATTCGTGAAGTAAGAATGGTCAATGTCGGCGACAGGTCAATGTCGGCGAGAAAAGCAGCTTCACGGGGCCATTTTCCAAAAAGATGTATTTTGACCAATGGCGCCCTCGTGTGGTGAGAGGTAAAAACCACATGTGCCCCAGAAGACACCTCCCTGGGGACCCTTGTTGGGGCTGACACCCGCCCTGGGGACCCTCCTTGGGCAGATTCTCCCTGGAGATCCTACCTGGGGGAGACCCTCCTTGGAGGAGACCCTCCCTGGAGGAGACCCTCCCTGAATACCCTCCCTGAATACTCTCCCTGGGGCAGACCCTCCCTGAATACTCTCCCTGGGGCAGACCCTCCCTGAATACCCTCCCTGGGGCAGACCCTCCCTGGGCAGACCCTCCCTGGGGCAGACCCTCCCTGGGGCAGACCCTCCCTGGAGCAGACCCTCCCTGGGAAGACTCTCCCTGGGGCAGACCCTCCCTGAATACCCTCCCTTGGGCAGACCCTCCCTGAATACTCTCCCTGGAGCAGACCCTCCCTGGGAAGACCCTCCCTGGGGCAGACCCTCCCTGAATACCCTCCCTGGGGCAGACCCTCCCTGGGGCAGACCCTCCCTGAATACCCTCCCTGGGGCAGACCCTCCCTGGAGGAGACTCTCCCTGGGGCAGACCCTCCCTGGAGGAGACCCTCCCTGGGGCAGACCTTCAGTTGGCAGACCCTCCCTGGGGCAGACCCTCCCTGGGGCAGACCCTCCCTGGAGGAGACCCTCCCTGGGAACCCTCCCTGGGCAGACCCTCCCTGGGACAGACCCTCCCTGGGGCAGACCCTCCCTGGGACAGACCCTCCCTGGGACAGACCCTCCCTGGGGCAGACCCTCCCTGGGGCAGACCCTCCCTGGGCAGACCCTCCCTGGGCAGACCCTCCCTGGAGCAGACCCTCCCTGAATACCCCTCTCGCGGCAGAACCTCCCTGCAGACCTCCCTGGACCCTCCTCGGCCCACCGGGCAGGCACTGTGTCTGGGGGGCTCCTGCCCAGGCACCTAAGTGTGGTGGTGGAACAGAGCCTGCCGTGCAGTCCACACTCTTGCAGGAGGCTAATCAGTTTTCAAGAACACCATCCGATGCTCTTCGGTCTGTCCTTTCAGAAATCAGGACGACAGCACTGTCTTTGTGTAAATCCCTTAATCCCAGAGGGTGCTCATCTTCCCTGAGTGTGTGGCCAGCTCCTGCTGGTCAGGGCTTTACAGCCATAGTGCACCATGCAGGGCGCCAGGAGCCTGGGTCAGCTGGCTGGACACCGGCCAGAGAGTCACCTGAATCCATGAGGTCACAGGCTCGGTGGCCTTCCTTGTCCCCAGGAGGGGGCGAGGGATGGAGTCAGGAAGGTGCAGAGTCAGGAGCAGGCTGCATCGTGCTGAGCAGAGATGGCCTGTCTGTCTGTGGCTGTCCCTGAGTGAGGGGAGCTGTCCCCACCACCTCCCAGCCGCCACACAGGCACCCTGACACGTGCCCAGCAACTCGCGCCCGAAGGAAAGGCTTCCGAGCTCGTGCCGCTGACCTGCTGCAGGGCGCCGCTGCAGCAAACCCGGTCGCTCCGTGTTCCACGAACAACCAACCAGACCCCAGGAGCAGGGCGTGGGCACACCTCTCAGGCAGATTGACCCCAGAGGCGCCTGCTCCTGCGCGTCCCACCCGAGACCCGCCTGTGGTCCCCACCCACCACTGCCTGCGTGGTGTTTTGGTGCTGTGCAGCATGCGTGCGCCATGTGCTGAGTTCAAGTGCATGTGTGTGTGTGGTGTGCACATGCATGTGCGGGTGTGTGTGCATCTGCAAGTGCATCTGTGTGTGTGGCGTGTGCATATGCATGCCTGTGTGTGGGTGAGTGTGTCTGCAAGTGCACAGCCTCTGACAGGCTGGTTGGAGATGGAGCCCCTCCTCCCAGGCAGCTGGAGGCTGACGCAGCCACGGACAGCGCCAGAGCTCCTTAATGGGTTGACTGGGCCGAGGAGACCCTGTGCTGGGGAGGGCAGGGGAGGAGGAGCCCTGGAGCTGGTGGGTTGAGGCACAGCAGGGACCGAGGACATCCCTGCTGCCTCCCGCACCCGCACCATCTGGATTCGCCTGCAGGCCCGTCCCCTCCCCGGCATCCCCCAGACCAACCCGGCACGCTGGCTGCGTCCACCAGAGGGCAGCGCCGCGGCACGGAGGGAGGGACACTGCCCACCTGGGTGCTGGGTTCTGGTGCCGCTGTGCCGGCAGCTCCACACAGCACACAACACACACACACGCCACACACGTGCACCACACACACGCCATACACACACACCACACACGCACAACACACACACACCACACACATACCTCACACATCACACACACCATACACACCACACACATATCACGCACCACACACATATCACACACCACACATGTGTCACACACCACACATACCCCCACAAATACCACACACCCCACACTACACACACATATCACATACCTCACACACCACACACACACCTCACACCCCACACACCACACATACATCACATACCCCACATATCACACACCAAACATACACACACGTCACACACCTCACACATACACTGCACATACCCCACACACCACATATGCCACACACTACACACACATCACATACCTCACACACCACACATATTCACCATACACCACACACCACACTATATATACACAACACAAACCACACACCATACACACATACCACCACTACACACCATACACACCACACACAACGCACACACATAAACCCCACATATACCCCCATGCCACACCCACACACGCCACACTATATACACCACACCACGCTATACATACACATCACAAACCACACCACACCATGCACACACATACTATAGACACACATCACAAACCACACACATTTCCCCATACCACACACACCCCACACTGCACACACACCACACACATGCCACACAGCATGCACACACTACACACATCACACACTACAGTACACGTATGCTGTACCACACACAACCCCCCACACACAGATGCCTGACGCACGCCTTCCCCAACACGGATCCTGGACCCGGACCCCCCCCAGCTCCAACTGTCTCCCACAGGCCGGCGAGGCTGAGGCGGCACCACCCTCCTTCCGCAGCGAGCGACGCAGCCCGACCCGTGCGTGTGCGCTGGCGGCCGGGGGTGTGAAAGGCTCCGTCCCTCTGGGATGAACCCTCCTCAGAAAGGAAAGCGGAGAAAGTCTCAGCCGCCCGTGCTGACTCAGGTGGGGGCGGTGACGAGGCGTGTGGGCCCGTGCGGGAGAGACACGGGGAGGCCCTCGGTCTGCCAGGCAGCGTGGTCCGTGCGCTTCCTCACCGCCAAGGAGTCTGTTTGCCCGGCACATGCATGGGGAGGCCCAGGGCAGCCAGGAGCTTCGGGGGCAGCACAGACTATCACCGACAGCGGTGCCGTGTGGGGTGGGCTGGAGGGCTTCCCTGAGGAGGTGGCCGAGGGGGAGGGGAAGGGCGTCGGGGGCGGAGGCGCATGCAAAGGCCGAGGCAGGGTGGGGGCGGGAAGGGCTGGTGGAGGCAGGTCCGAGGGGCGCCGGCGGGACAGTCAGCGGCGTGGGTACCTGCGGCCCCGGGAGAGGCTCACGGCTGCGCAAGCTCGGTGTGCTGGGCCCGGACACTCCCGGGACTGACTGAGACTGTCTGGTGACCACAAATGATCCTTTCATTTTTTAAAAATCCAAGGGTGACCATAAAACCTGAGTTTCCATCCCCAGGCAGGGGAAGGGCTCACTCCCCCGAATCCTCCCTCGGTGAGCAGCAGGACCCTGGGCGCGCTCAGACGCACACTGAGACCCCACAGCGGCGCCTCCAGCCGGGCCGGCTTGCGTGCGGGGGTCTCGTGCCCCACGGGGACGGCTGGGCAGGTCCCGGCCTTCGGGAGTCTGGGCCTGAGATTCCTGAATCTCAGGAGCAGAAAGGGGCGGGGAGGTGACAGCAGCAAGGAGGCCGTGGAAGGTTCCGGAACCATGTGGTGACCAGAAATAGTGGAGCACACATGAGGACCACGCTCCCCTGGTGTTTGCAGACGGCCTCTGAGTTTCGTGGAGTCCACTCCGCCACCTTTCAAGGAAAGGGGCGTGGAAACCTGCGGGACCCATGAGGTCCCAGACCCGGGGGCAGGAGGGTCAGCGGGCGGAGACGCCCAGCGCCGGGCGGGATGGCGCCCACCTGAGAACAGCCCCGTGTCTCGGAAACGCACTCAGGTCGTTCAGCTTCAGCGCCAGCGCCGAGGAGCCGTTCAGCCTCGTGTGTGCCGGGCGCCGGGCCAGGGCAAGGCAGTGACAGCGGCCTGGAGCCTGCGTCCTCGGACCTCAGCCGCTGCCACACTCCAGGTGTCAGCATGAGATGTTGCTCTGGGATTCGGGGCCTCATCTACGAAACCAGCTGGGGGACGGCCTTCCTGCCGCAGTGCGAGTGTGAAGTCAGAGGGAAGAAACTTCCGGAAGTGCTCTGTGGCATCACTCCCCGCTAAGCTGCCACCACGGTCCCCTGGTCCTCCTGAGCCAGGTCCGTGCTCCGTGTGCTAGGCGTGGCTGGCAGAGCCTGGCGTGTGGTGGGTACGAGATTCCCAGGAGGGCAGGGGAGGAGGCGAGTCCTACACACCGGGACGCCGCCATCCGCCAGCCTCTGACCGCAGCCGGCACGAGCCCCCTCTCTGCTCACCGGACCCCGCCCGCCAGGTTTCCGGGAGCCTCCCCGGAGCACCAGCCCACTGGCGTCTACGGGGGACCGGGCTCGCTGTGGCCCTTTCTGGGCCAGGCGGACCCAGAGCTCTGCCACAGACCCGAGGCCCCGCGCCAAGGTGGGCGGGGAGCAGAGGGCGGCACAGGTGACAGGGACCAGGCCTCGCTCTCGGCCCTCCTGGTTACACGTCTCCACCGCAGTCACCCTGTCCTCGCGCTCTGCTCGCCATGAGGGACAAGAGTGTCGTATGGGAGCACGTTCCCGTCTCAACGCACCGTCCACGGCCACCGCGTGGGGCAGGAGGCCGACGACTCAAGAGTCTGCTGGGAGCAGTGGGACGGGCAGCCCGGGCGCCGCGACCCCGAGACCCCCACGACCACCTTGCCCTCAGGGCCGGAGCACCCCGGGACGCACAGGCAGACAAGCCCCCCAGACCTCAGGCCCCAGGCAGACACCGCCTGGACAGCCCTGTGCGCAGCCCCCTGGCTATAAAAAGAAAGACCCTCCCCTGCAGGCTGGTGGCACTCCTGGGGGAAGGAACCAGCCCAACTCAGCCAGGTCCACGGCTGGACACCCAGGCTCCAGGCGCCCCGCGGGGAGGGAGGGACAGGGCCCTGGGCCTGCAAAGTGGGACTCTGGCCCAAACCAGAGCTCAGGCAAGCTGACAACTGCTGAGAGCCACGGTTTCCTCACTGACACAGCTCCAGCCCTCCACGGCCCCAGGGACCCCAACAGTGGTGATGCCCACAGAGACACCAGCCCCTCCACGGCCCCGGGGACCCCAACGGTGGTGACGCCCACAGAGACGCCAGCCCCTCCACAGTCTCAGGGACTCCAATGATGCTAACACCCACCCCTGAAACCCACCATATAGAAACGCCGGCTGGGCCGCCCTGACACGCACCTGGGGATGCTGGTGAGGTAGGTCATGACACTCTGGAACTCCTTGTCGGGGATCTCGCTGAAGGCCGGGTAGTCGGGGAAGGTGATGACGGGGCTGCCGTCCTGCCCGCGCCCCCCTGCGGAGAGACCACAGCGGCGTGAGTGTGGGTGCCGGCCCCCAGCCGGTCTCAGTCACTTCCCAGAGTCACCGAGTGTCTCGGTTAGAACTGAGCAGCATCTTAGGCCGGGCGCGGTGGCTCACACCTGTAACCCTAGCACTCTAGGAGGCCAAGGCAGGAGGATCACTTGAGCTCAGGAGTTCGAGACCAGCCTGAGCAAGAGTGAGGCCCCGTCTCTACAAAAAATAGAAAGAAATTAATTGGGCAACTAAAAATATACAGAAAAAATTAGCTGGGCGTGGTGGCGCATGCCTGTAGTCCCAGCAGCTCAGGAGTCTGAGGCAGGAGGATCGCTTGAGCCCAGGAGTTTGAGGTTGCTGTGAGCTAGGCTGACACCACAGCACTCACTCTAGCCTGGGCAACAGAGCGAGACTCTGTCTCAAAAAAAAAAACAAAAAAAACTGAGTAATGTCTTCGCTGCGCGTCATGCTTATCGGGGCAGATACGCACCCACTGAGGACGGTTTCTGGAAAGCATGGCAGAGTGAGATGGAGCAGGACAGCCCCATGCAGCGATGCCACCAAGGGGTGGCCACCCCAGCGTTTCGACATGTTCTTTCCAACCCTCTTTCCATGTGCTTTTCTGCATAGCTGAGATGCGGACACAAGCTTGAGTCCTTCTTCCCAACGCCATGAGCTAAACCGCTCTCCACGCTTTATAGACGATGCGCCTGTTATTTAAATGCTGCGCAATGCTGTGCTCATCCTGGGGGCCGCCAAGCCCAGGCAACCACCTCTGGGAGCCGTGGAGGCCCCTCAGGTCAGACCCAGGCAGGCTGGGCAGCTCCGGGCGACAGTTCCTGGTTCCAGCCGCAGACCTCCTACCCCCGTTCCCTCCCTGGCCACAGGACTCACCTGACAGGTACGCGAAGCGCTTCTTCAGCTGGTCTTGGATGTCAGCGGCGCAGAGTGGGACGATGTCCTGGTGCATGATTTCATCTGCGGGAGAAAGGAAAGCAGACACATGGTAATTTGGGGAAACCGTCTCGGGCCACAGGTGACCGGCCAGAACCCCCCACTCGGGGCCAGCACCACCACATGGAGCCAGAACCGCCCCACATGGAGCCAGAACCCCCCACATGGAGCCAGAACCACCCCACGTGGAGCCAGAACCCCCCACGTGGGGCCAGAACCCCCCACGTGGGGCCAGAACCCCCCACGTGGGGCCAGAACCGCCCACGTGGAGCCAGAACCCCCCACGTGGAGCCAGAACCCCCCACGTGGGGCCAGAACCCCCCATGTGGAGTCAGAACCGCCCACGTGGAGCCAGAACCCCCACGTGGAGCCAGAACCCCCCACGTGGAACCAGAACCCCCCACGTGGGGCCAGAACCCCCCATGTGGAGTCAGAACCGCCCACATGGAGCCGCATGTCGCCACAGAGAAGGGAGGCGTCTTATGTCTGTCTGGGAAGGGTCACTGTAGTTCCCATCACGCGAGAGTCTTTGTTTTTCAGTAAAAAAAGCTGCATGCTGAGTGAGTCACCATCACTCTTCAAAGTGTGATGTGTGTAAGGGGTACAAAGGGAGGGACACACACACACACGTGGGCAGAGGAGAGGTAGCAGGAAAGCAGCAGCCGGGTCTGGGACCTGATGCATGAGATGGACAAACACGCTCTGGTCTCTGTGTCCCGTCCTCGCCCTGGACGGGCCCAGCAGCGCCTGGCTCGTGCCTGCTGCCCTGCACGGAGCCGCCGGCCACGGAGGACCCGCCCTGCACACTCACTGGGTGCCCAGGGCTCTGCGCTGGGCTCGGGGCTCACGCTCGGCTAGCACTGAGGAACCAGGGCGGCTGCTGGGGCGCTGTGTCTGTGAACTCAGCTTGTATGGCGGCAGCTCAGCACCTGCCTACATGGTTCTACACGCAGCACACTATACTCCAGCGGCGCTGGCCGACGGGAGCCACCCGGAAGCAGGTCTAGGGAGCCCGCAGCCTCGCCTGGGCTGGCTGCACGGCCACGGAGCGCAGGGGTGGGGCGGCTCAGCCGGGGTTCCAGGAGCCTGACACGCTCATGTCTCAGGACTTTCGAGTCTCTGAACTGACCCCAGACTCATCACACGAGACTTCAAGCCACGCTCTCACTGCACGGCAACGTGCACAATCTGAGTGTTGACACGCCTGCTCACTGAAAGGCTTGGACTCACGCAGACTCGAGATGGCTACAAGTCAGCTTCCTGCACACCTGGAGGCCCCAGGCCACACCCAGCCAGCAGACACGTGTCACGGAGACAGTGTCACCTGCAAGACCCTAGTGGAGGCAGCAAGGCCAGCTGTCTACACAGCACCACTCTCCAAACCTGCTCTTCAGGCCCCGCAAACACGCCGGCGGCTCAGCCAGGCACACAGACACCCACGCCCAGGCGTGCCGTCTGCGCCTGCCAACCGCTGGCCGGCCTGCCCGGGACGCGGCAGATGTCCTGGTGCCGGCGCGGACGCGGCCACATGCCTCCCGGCAGCGCCTCGGACCGCAGGGCCTCCTGGGCAGCTCAGGCCGTGGCCCTCCCGCGTGCAGCCCCGTCTCCGCGACAGCTTCTTCGTGGGAGAAAGACAGGGCAGAAACAGTCGCCCCAGGAAAGCATGAAGTGGCTTTCAATCCAGGCGAGGGGATTTACGGCGTGCACACACCCATCTGCCGGGACGGTGGGCGCAGCGGGTGTGGCGGCCAGACTGCACTGGGCGCTCAGGTGGGACGCGGTGTCTTTCTCTTCTCAGCAGGAGCAGCCGCGCCCGAGCACGGACCCTGTGGTCTCTCCTGCAACGCAGCCTCTGCGGCCAGGAGACGCAGAGCCCAGGGAGGTGTCCCATGGAGGTGAGACCTTCTGGGGCAGACACAGGGCTGAGGACGCCGTGAGGGACAGTCTTCCCCACAAGTGGTCTGGACGACAAGGCCGCTGAGGCCAGGGGTGGGCCGTGAGGTGCTGGGCCGGCCGAGGCATGTTGGCGCCTGCTGTGGTCCCAACGCTGCCCGCCACGTGCCAACGCTGCCCGTCCACGGACGCCGCCCGCCTGCTGGTGTCCAGGTGTCTGACATGCAGATTCCCACATCGATTCTCAGGCCTTGCTCTGGTGGCCCTGCCTGGCCATGTCCCGGAGACACCTGCCCCTCAGGGCATCCAGTCCTCCCCACTGACCCCAGGATTACAGGCACGTGAACGTCACTCGCTGTCCCCCACTGCCCGTGACAGAGTGGCCCTTGTCGATGTGAAGCTGGCTCCACCGAAGGACACCCATGGGGGCCTCTGTCCACCCGTGTAGGGCCAGCCACGCACCCCATCACCCCCTGAGTGGCCGCAGCCCTCCAGCCCCTCTGTGGGGCCTTCCTGTCTTGTGGCCGGTCCGGCTTCACCCGATGCCCTGCCAAAATGTCACCTCCACGAGGCCACTCCTCACCTTGCCCCACCTGGGCTGCAGCGACCACACCCAGGCCCCCTGCCCTCTGCAGGGCTGAGTCCAACGGCCTCACTGCAGGAGCTCAGAGAGACTCGAGGCAGGAGGCAGTGGTGGAATTGAGGCTGGGTCCCTCCTCCCGCACTGGGCTGGTTTCTGCCTCGGTGGGCCTGGGGGTTGGGCCCCCAACTGCCCCTGCCACAGCAGTGGTGTTTCCTGCAGTGACTCCGTGTCACCGGCCCGTGCGGACTCCCTGGCCAGGACGAATTCCACGTGCCGCACCTTAGACAACGCCTCGGTTTAAGTTTAGGTCCGAGAAGCAGGGCCAGGCCGTCCACAGAGTGTGACGGGAAACGGCACGAAGCCAAGCCCACAAAACACACCCTCCAACAATCACGCCGCCATGCGTGGTGCTGGCCTCGTGCAGCTGTGGACGAGGGCTCTGACCACCATGTCCGGGCACGCGCCGGCCACCGTCCCCACTGGCGCCTGCCGCAGGCCCAGGCTGGGGCGTGCCGGCCGTGGGCTCCCCTTCCACCCACACTTAAGTTTCCATCCCGTTTTTCACGCGCGGCGTGGGCAGACTCACCCAGGAGTGACAGGACCATTCTGCACGCTGTGACGGCAGAGTTTTTCTAAAGGTCCTCTTGCAGTGTATTGGATTTTGCAGCCCTAAGACTAAGAAAGGCATCGAAGGGCTGCGCCGCTGTGGCGGGTTCCGGAGACGGGTCCCTGGGGGTGACGGGCAAGCGGTGCCTCCACGGGGCCTGCGTGAGGCCACGTGTCCTGGGGCGGGAAGCGGGTGGCCCATGGGCCTGCACCACCAAAGTCAGGCCAGGCCCAGCTCCCAGGGCACCTCCATGCGAGCACGGGGCCTGTCCCCCCGGCGGAGGCCCTGCTCACACCGCCAAGGAGAGCCGGATCCGAAAAGGGCGAGGACGCCAGGGCCTGACGCTGCCAGCCCTCGGCTGCTCCGGTCTGTCCACCTCACAAGCCACGTCCTTCCAAGGCGCCCGGCACCCACTGGGCTTCCGCACACCACCCTGACCGGTCGACCACCACTCCAGCCACCCTGGTCCCGCAAGGGCTCTGGGGCTCAGGCCCCACCGTGGGACCGGCTCGGCCCGGGTTCCACCGCAGCGTGGAGCGGACACTCGCCCAGCAGTTCCCGGCGGAACCAGAGGTCAGGAGACGTCTCTCGTCCCTGCGCAATCACAGCGATTGTCAGCGCGGAGGCCAGGGGAGGACGCGCTCTGGGGGCGGGTGGTTCCTGCCCCGCTGGTGTGCCTGCGGTTTGGTGTTTAAGAAAAACCATTTCAGTTCAGCCCGGGGCTCTGGCACAGTGAACCCGAGACGTCACCTACCTGTCCTTCCTGGGCCGCCATGGTCAGATGCCGCGTGATGCCAGTCCAGCCACGCGTCCCCCCCCCCCCCCCCCGCTGCTCCGTGTCAGGTGGCGGAGCGTGTGAGAAACAGAACAGGCCTGTGCGCGCACGTGTTCTTGTTTTGTTTGGATGAGACAGTGAGTTTTCATTAAAAAATGCTTCTCGTGTTACCATGATGGGCTATCATCATCATCATCTTTATGTACGTTGATGTGTCAACATTCCCTAGTTTAAATCTGAACATGGAACACACCCCAACATGGATGTTTGTGAATCGCTGAGTGACTCTGAGTTCTAGGAGAGTAAAGGGGCTCGAGAGGCTCTGTCTGGAGGGCCATGGGGGGCCGGGTCCCCAGAGCTCAGAGACCCTGGCCCGCCGCCCCTCCCCCCTGCGGTCCCCGCCTGGCCTGCAGAGGGTGCCCGGCCCGCGCGTGGTTTAGCCACCTCACAGTGCAGCCTGCGGGACCCTGCATGCTGGGAGGGCGAGAGTGTCATGCACGGCTGCTCGGGGCGTGCACGGCTCAAGGACAGCTGAGCGGGCAAGCGTGCAGGGCTAGCCAGGCCTCCAGCAGGGAGCGTTCTCACCGGCACAGACTCTGCAGGCCCTGCTAAAGAGCATCTAAGGGTCACCCCAAGCCCCAGGGACAAAGGCCAGGCCTGGCTGAGTCTATGGATGCCAGAGTCTCCCCCTTCCTGGGCTGCACCTGTCTCTCCGCCTCCGCCTCCACCTCCCAGCGCCGGCCTGCTCGGCCCACCCTGCCCTGCGAAGCCTCAGCTGCCACATCCGGAGCAGCTGGCTGTGCATACCAGGGGGGCCCAGCCGCGAGGACAGGGCCCACCCTTGCGTGGCGAGAAGGGGCGCAGGCCGGGGGACAAGGGCCACATCTCAAAGCACGTCTGTTGGGTTCAGGCTTCAGAGGGGCCCACAAGGGAGGAAAACTCACGAGGCCCCACCTGCAAATCCTTTCCAGGCTGCGAGTCTCTGCAGGGGCGAAGAGGGTGCATCGAGGCAGGGCATGCTCAGCGGCCCCGAGGGACGGCACTCCGCAGGAAGCCGCTCCCTGAACCCACCCAATGGGAGCCAAGAGTCAAAGCAGAGCCCAGGGCAGGTGCCAGGGCCGACCCAGGGAAGGCCGGGGCTCGGAAGGCCAGTTCCATCCCCTTCC